GAACTATGGGCCTTTTTTCATGCACCATGGTACAGAAGACAGAAAGGCATTTCAGCCACCGGGAAACTTTGTCCTCCTTTCTCTGTTAGAAGAAAGCAATGAAAGAAAGGGTGTGAAATGCCTGCTCACAGTCAATTCTATGGTCTCTGCCCTTTTCTGGACAGACAGCCTTTGTAACCAATGATGATCAGCAACCAAGATTTGTCACTATCTTTTCATGTACAAAGTATTTGAATTCAGTATTTTATTAAGCGACCATACCCACTTCATCATATCCTACTCATGGTACTATTTTTTTTTTTTCACAGACAAAGAAACTAAGCCAACAGAGATAGCTCTGATTTCTCTATGATCACAGAACTAGTGAGTAGCAAGGTCATACTACAAAAGTACCTGTGTTTGGCAGAATCCAATAACTGTGTCCCTAAATATTACTCTACAGCATCTCACAAATAGAACCTGAATGTCTGTGCCCATGCCTAGTCTAGCTGGGGAATCTCAAGAGAATCATTTGGAAGAATGTCTTTCTTAACTCTAAAAAAGGAACCATACCCCTACTGTAGGGCTAAGATAATTTCATAGAATAATAACTGGGAAAAAAAAAGAGCATTTGATTGAAGGAAGCCTCATGACAGGCATTTCCCTCTACTTGTACGTCTCCCCTCATGTCAGTCGTAATCCCCTTCCACCTGGGCTACACCTGCAAGCATCTGGGATCCCTGGATACTGCATTGCTAATGCAGGGAAAGTGCTTTTTTCTGCCTGACTGGGTACCAAGTTATTGACCTGGAACTCTTCTGTGTATCTGTAAGCCATGAATCATGATGCACTGATGAGTTATTAAATCAAGTCAATCAGTTGTAACCATCACTCAGCACAGAGAGACTGATCACACAGAACGGAAAATAATGAAGTTCGTGCTATACATAAACAATTATGTATATAATTATGTATTATATTGTATTATGTATTATAATTATGTATACAACCCACAGTACTAAGTAATGTCGAAGTTTTTTAATCTTTATGCATGTTTCTATTTATAGGGCTTTGAGAAAGGATGAATGCCATTTATTCCTTGGGTCAAAATCTTAAAAAAGTGTTTGAAATAGCAACTCAAATATTGCGCATTAAGAAGCAGTCAAAATTTTGGAGGTTTCTCTGGCTACAATATCCCAATACATTTACCTGTTGTTCCTGGCTCACACTAGGTAGTGAGTTTCCTACAGGGAAGAAACATTTTCTGCTGAGTTCCTGTGCCTTTTTCAGGTTTAGGAGCAGAACAGATATGTAAATGATGCCTCAGGACTATGTGAGTCAAGGGTGGTCCTCAGAGCATTGATTCTTAAATCCTAGTTCATAACAAAGAGGATACTTGCTGCAAGTCTCAATATTCTTCTTCATTAACAAATGAACATAGGCTGAAATTTTGTTTAATGTGACCTTTCACTCCCAAGCAATGGATCTATGTCTTTGTGTCTCTATCTGGCCTCCTGCCTTCACCCAGCGATCTGGGTGCTTTTACTCATTTTGAGGAAGCTTCTTTGCTGGACATCTGTGCCTCTATGGAAACTTAAAACCCTCCATCTCTGACTTCAGTTCTCTCAGCAGCAGGGAAAGCAATGTTCTTTGAAAACGAGCTTTTTACTGGCTGATGGGCAGGAGGGGAGAATGTCTTTGAACAAATAAATTCGTGGTCACTCCACCTAGGCACACACTTGCTACTTTTGCCCATATGGAAAGCCTTGATGACATGCAACAAATCCTACATTACAGCAGCTCTGGGGATTAAGTGCATCTACTAGGGAACTAATAAAGTACCTGTCCAGTACTCTGAAATTGCTGGATTTGTGTCCTTAACACATCAGTTTCTTTCTTTTCGTGATACTAGGTTGGAATCCAGGCTCTCCCACCAGCTACATAAGAACTGAACTGTTGGACTGTATCTCCAGCCAACATTATTTGTTGTTAAGATTCTATAACTATAGGTTTTCATAATGTAGCAAACATAAAAGTCAAACAGCTCAAACACATCTTAATCATACACGTATAGTATTATGAGTGCCAATCGATTTCATTTGTACAATGCGCCCACGTCACTGCCTGTTACGGGGATGGTTGGCTGATCAAGATGACACCGTGTGACCCTCTGAGCCGGATGAATTAATGAGTAAGCAAGCATATGAGACATATGTGAAATCCATTGAGGAGTGAACATGCCACCCCTCCACGCCATAATAAAGCTGTGGGAAGTAACTGGCTCCAGGAAGCTTGTCTTAAATTAGCACAGGATAGAAGACTTCAAATAACTTTTAGCAATATGGATTGAAAGAAACCATTCTCTATAGTGCTACTTATGACTCCCCCACTTCCTAATGGGTGCAGATATTACACATACGTGCAATGCACATATATGTAATAATCCCAGTAGTAGCTACTTGACTAGGGGTTAAGCTCCAATGCTTAGAATTCTTAGGATCATCTATGGCAAAAAGTGTTTATGAAGTTGGGTCTGGAGACAAACCACACTTTAATCCCAGCACTCCAGAGTCAGGTGTTAGTTCGAGGTCAGCCTGGTTCACAGAACAAGTTCCAGGCCAGCCACAGATACGTGGTGAGACCCTACCTAGTGATTATAAGAATTCCATAACTCAGGACAACAATGTCGTAAACCTCACATAATACGGTAACTTGCCCATATCCACCACTGGATTTTGGTCAAAAGTCTTAGTGTGCCTTCTCATGGAAACTCCTGGGAGCGCAGGAAAGTGTTGCGGGTGTCAGATGAGGGACAGTACTGTCTTAATTTCACGAAGTGCTATGTTGGCAGCTGTTAGGCGCTGGCTTTGCAAAACAGTGAGAAACAAAACATTTGTCCTCTTTGTTCATAAAAAAAAATGCTTCTTTTAAAATTTTCTCTCAGTTTAGGTTTCCAATTTTCCTGCAGGTTTCATTTTTGTTTACCATTTATCAGGATGAAAACTTGGTTCTAATCAATAATACTTTCAAATGTCTTTTGATTTTATGTATCACAGACCTTCATTAAATTTTCAACAACGTAAACTTTTAACCCATCTTCACCAATAATTTTACTGCATAAACGATTTTTTCATGTAGTTCATTTTTAATCACATTAATTTTGATGATTTTTCCTTGTTGTTTGAGTCTATAAGGCCATTCAGTTGACTAATTTGTCTGGGTACTATTAGCCAAACTATTTTTTTCCTATTTTCTATCCCAGAGTAAGACATTTCAAGATTTTTCAAAATAATTTTTATCATTAAAAACTAGTGACACAACACAAGTATGGAAAAGAGAATAGATACAAATTGGCTTAATTTACATCTCACTTGAGATGCCATTATGAGACATTTTCTAAGGTAGTTCTCCACATTTCCTTCCATGGACAATAAGATACTACAAAACAATCTAGAGCACAGTTGGTCAACTATGAAAGATTAACAGTCATGTAGATCTATCTATCTACTATTTATATATCTATCATCTACATATTTATAATCTATATAATCTATCATCTATCTATCTACCTACTTTTCTATTTATCTGTCTATATCCTCTATCCATCATCAATCATGTATTTTTAAGCCTCAAGAATCCTGAGGAATAGAAACTCCCCAGAATAAGCTGGCATTCTATGATGGCTACAGCATCCAGCAAATTAAGGCCCCAGAGAACCTGCCATATTCTGAAATTGGTCTTCTATTTTCTTCTTGGCATGTCTAATACATAGGAAAGTTAAAGTTAACTTTACATTTGGAATTCAGACAAGTCCAACTCAATGCATAATTTAGTATATGTATCATGGGATTCTTGCTGGAAAAAAAAAGTGAAATTTGGGTGAGAAGATGTGGCCTTAGCTGTCAGTCAGATCCTGGGCAAGAGCTGTCAATGGGCATCCAAACAGTGAGAAGCTGGTTCCTCCAAATAGTGCATACAGTTATTCTGACCATGTAAGGGACCGCACTTCCTCTCAGCTGCTACGATTTGTATTACTTACTAAATGTCCTCTGTTGGCAAAATAGCTCAGTGAATAAAGGAGCTTACATCCTAGCCTGAAGATCATAGTCAGTCTCCAGAACACACATGGTAGAAGAACATGTGCGTGTGTGCGCGCATGCGTACACACACACACACACACACACACACACACACACACACACACATAAAAGTTAGATGTAATACAGGAGCCAGAACTAGTAAGTGGAGCCTACATAGCTCCCTCAAGAGAATTCCAGGCAGAAAAAAATGCTGACGGGCATTGTGAATTCACTCATTCCTTACCAAGGCTAGCCTGGAACTTACTCTGTCTCCAGGTTGGTCTTAAACTTGTGGTGGTCTCAATCTCCTAAGTACTGAGATGTGGTGTAAGTCACCACAGTGGGCTAATTAATGAGTTTCAATAAGCCAGGAAATCATGAAGTGTTATGGTCCAAGAAACAACGGGTATTCAGATTCTACTGAAGAAAGTATTTCCAGCAAAGCTTTCAGAAAAACAACCAATACACATAACTCTTTGACAGAATAGCTGATTTCTAATAAATGAATGAGAGCTAATGCACTCAATCTCAGAAGAGTTGGGAATAAGGAATATTTTCTTCCAAGACTGAATGCAAGCAAATGTCCAGAGCTTCAGTCTATGCATTCAAGCTTTGCCATGAATGTAACCCATGTCATACTTTAATATGTTTCAATATTTTTAGGGAATAACTTGAGAGTTGGGTGCCCCAGCACCAAGAAAGTTCTAGAATTTGCCAACTTAAGCAACACAGCAACAACCCCCCCCTTTTTTTCCCAAAAGATAAAACTGGAGAAGAGTTTTAGCCTGATAACATTTCAAAAATTACTTCAAAATGGTTAAATGCAAGGCCTTTGAACAGAAGTACCCAGACAAACATGGGCTAACTGGAACCCAGGCTTGGCGTTTGTGTCGCAATAGCTCAGGACCAGTATATCTGAGTGAGGAATGTGCCGGTGCCTACCTGACATACAGGGAGCGTTTCTGATTGGTTCGAAGGGACCCAGACCCGGAGCTCATGCTGTGGTTCATCATCTGCTCTCGTAGGTCATGGATTTTGGCCTCAAATCGAGCGTAATCTGGGAATAGGGGGGAAAAAAAGGGTAAGTTTGGTTTTGTGCCTTCTGAGAGTTAGACATGCTATATAGACAAGCTATCGACCTGAATGTTTTCATTCCTCTATCAAGTACCAGGTTGATGTTCAACATCAGAACAGCAGGTCTGCTTACTAGTACTTTTTACTCACAAATTCACAGAAAGAAAAGGAGAGATCAGTTACTTTCCAAAAATTACCCAGAGGATATAGAGCCATGACATTCCTAACTTGTGAGACGTTTAAGATTCCATACAATCCTTAACTTGGTTTCCCTCCTTTCTCAAAACTATGGCATGTCATTATAACTAGGATAGTGAAATAGACAAAATCTATTCATTTCAATCATATTTTCTCATTTTCATTTCTACTTGAGTGTATGTGTGTGTGTGTGTGCGTGTGTATGAGAGAGACACACACAGAGAGAGAGAGACAAAGAGAGACAGAGACAGAAAGAGAACTTTCATGTAGCCTTGGCAAACTTGGAACTTGCTAGTCCAGGCCGGCCTCTGCCTCCTGAATGCTGGCATTAATGGAGTGTGCCACCCCTCCAGTTTTTCACCAGCACATTGAAAAATAATTTGATTTTCAGTTCAAATTATTTACAACTTTTTATGAAAATAAGGATAACTAAATTAATGTAGTAAAAAAAAGTCAACTTACCTAAAAATGTTTCAAATTATTTTTAAAGGATTCATTTTATTTTTATTTATTTGGTGTGTGTGTGTGTGTGTGTGTGTGTGTGTGTGTGTAACTATGTATGAGTGCATGCTGGGGTTTTCTGGGAATGCAGCAAATGCTCTTAAGTACTGAGCCATCTCTGCAGCCTTGTGTTTAAAGTTCTTTATAATTAAGAGGTTCCATGAAGCCAACTTTAATTTCAGATCATGTAGCATGTATTGATAGCTGCGAGAATATGGCTTTCCCTAAAAGACCTGGCAATAGCTAACAAAATGCTAAGTTTTGAACGTGAAACACAAAAGTTTGTACTCTGAAGACTTAAAAAGCCCATAATAGTTGGTTAGTAATTTCCAGTGCTGAAGTACAGCCTAGAATTACCAATACTTGGCAGACTTTCTGTTAATAATTCATCCTTAAATAATTAAATAAGCCAAATATAGATTTAATCACATAGTTCATCTAAAATCTATTGACTTTGCTCCAAAACACTGCATTTCATTCCAAGGGAAAACACTTATGAGCCTTGGTGTGATATTATCAGCAGATTTATACCATCTTGAGGAAGCTGTATTTCTCTGCTACCTAGAAGAATCAACTAACATTTATAATGGACCACATTGTACCCATGGCATGTGGTGCTTTGTGGGCCTCTTCTTTGTAGGTCATAAAACAAAGCCTACAGATATCATAAAAGTCACCTCGACTATATAAACACAGAGCGGAGAACGGCAGTCCTCTGCCTTCTTCCTCACAGATGTCCTTCCCCAAAGCTCATCAGGGGAGGGAGGTGTGAGCTGGAAATGCTTGTGGGTATGCGTGTGAGCATGGACTGAACTATGTATTGTGCTAAAATGATTTTCTCTTTTTTAAATAGTGTGGCATGGATGGCTAACCGCTTTCTGCCAAGTCTGTGACTATGATATTTCTTAATAGCATTTTATATTTATACTAAATATAACTAGCTTATTTAAATGTAATAGTTTTTTTAACTAGCCTCATGTCTTTAGGTCTGTGCTGCTCTTCATTTTATAAATAAGTGTCTTGCTGCATGTGTGTACATTATGGAATGAATCAGTATGGCACCACAATTAGAGGTACTGGTCAATACTTTACATAACAATTGTACAACCCTCACTAGCGCTTTGTTTTTATGTTTTAAAAATAGGTCTTGTTATGTAATTCAGGCAGCCATGGGAATCACTGTGTATGCAGAGCACAATATGCCTTGAACTGGTGTTGCCCCTGCCTTAGCCTTCTGAGCGCTAGGATTATAAGCATGCGTTTTCATCCTGCAGAGAAAACAACCACTCACGTGTTTGGGGACATAAAGTGGGAACTTACAGTCTTTTCAGACCCGCCTCGTAGGACTACTCTCTGAAGATAAGTGTCAACCCTGGGTGTCACTCAGCCTCATGGAGACATAGGACCATGCTTCACAACCATGAGGACTTGAAAGAGCAAAATTCTGCCAAGCATATTCTCACAGCAGCTCACAGTCAGCACCTCCCCCTATCTGTCCAGTGACCCATATTGGCACCATCACGCCATCTCACAATTATTTAGGTGGTTACCTGTGTCCACTAGGCTGAGCCCCTTAGGAAGAGCCCATGTCACCTTGTAGGAATTCCCTATGTAGGAATTCCCTGTTCATGACGTGGAATCTGTTAGTTGAGAGAGAGAGAGTTCATAAAAGGTGCATATTACACCTCCCCTGAAGTGCTGATTGCTGAATGAGGAATGGGCCGAGTCATTAGATAAACACGGTTGTGAAATAGCTGCAAGTAAAGAAATCACCGATTCTTAATATTATTTTGCAGAAGAAAGAAGGTAGAATATGTCTCTCTCCTTTTCCAAACGCAAGGACTCAAGATGCAGACTAGTTTTTTGTTGCTGTTGTCAAATTGCCTGCACCTGCAAACCGCTCTGACATCTTTACTGCCTTCTAGGCAATGTTTGTTCTCTTCAACTCAGTCATGCCATTTGTCGGAAACAATTCTGACACTTTACCTACACATAATTACGACCATCAATAGACTCATAGGCTCTCATTAGGCTCGTGCTACTATATCATGTATTGTGACAGGATATTTGTGGTAACAATAAAGTTCATTTGCATTGCTGTGTAGCTCATCAGTTACGTTCTCTGTGGCCCATAACTTATATTGCCGCCTTACCTAGCGTCTATCCTACTCTTGATGTAGCGTTTTGATGCTCATCTCAATCACAAAACTTGTATTCAGGGGCACTTACCGGTCCACATAACTTAGCCAAGGCACAAACAGTAGGTTGACAGATACAAATGGGGTGGGAGTGGGGAAGTTGTATGTTTACAGATTCATAGAGATAAACAACCTTATATTTAGAAATATTTTAGAAGTACACATCTCTGCAGGCTGTGAGATGCCAATCTTTACTTTTTATCAAAGTGATGAAAATCCATTCAAAAAGCTAAAATATGAACAACTAATATACTCTCAACTTAGCAACATAGTTTCTTCCTTAAATGCTTCCCTCCTGCCCCTACTCTGCCCTTTGGGGTATTCTTTTCAGCCAAATTGCTAACACTCTTGATTTTAAACCTCATGAGAACATTCAACTGAGATTTTTAAAAACATGCTAATCTTTACAACATCTGGCTTGGAGCAAGACAGAACAGGAATGAATTTGGTTCCAGAATGTGACCTACAGGGATGTTCAGCATGATAATGCTAAGGTTGGATGCTACAGCAAGAGAGCAAGGATCTGCTTTCTGGTGGGATCTAGAAAAGATCATTCTGAGTGAAGTATTCCAGAAGGAGAAAGACAAACACGGTATATACTCACTTATATAGACCTACAAGATATGATGAACATAATGAAATCTACACACCTAAAGAAGATAAACAAGAAAGCAGACACGGGGTAAAATGATCAATCCTCACTTAGAAACGCAAATGGGATGTGCATTGGACATATGACAGGAGTCTACCGCAGAAGGCATCTGAAAGACCCTACCAAGCAGCGTTTCAAAACAGATACTAAGACTCAAAACCAAACCTTTGGCAGAAGAGGAGTTAGTATGACGTGGAAAGGATAGGAGCTCCACAAGGACCAAATATATCTGGGCACAGGGTTTTTTTCTGAAACTGTTTCTCCAACCAAGGACCATGTATGGATATAACCTAGAACCCCTGCTCAGATGTAGCCCGTGGTAGCTCAGTAACAATTGATTTCCCATAGTAAGGGGAACAGGGACTATTTCTGACAGGAACTCAAGGGCAGGCTCTTTGACCTTCCCACCCCCCAAGGGAGGAGCAGTCCTGCTAGGCCACAGAGGAGGACTTTGCAGCCAGTCCTGAAGATACCTGATAAAACAGGGCCAGACAAAAGGGGAAGAGGTCCTCCCCAATCCTTGGATTTGGAAAGGGGCAGGGAGAAGCTGAGGGAGGAAGGGTGGGATTGAGAGGGAATAAGGGAGTGGGATACAGCTGGGATACAATATAATATAATATAACTTTAATAAAATATAACTAATGATAATAATAATAATAAAAAAAGAAAAAAAAAAAGAAAACATGATATGGGAAGCCTTAAAAAAAGAAGAAAGAAAGCAACACTTTACCCTGCACTGTCTCACTTGCAAAAGGCAGCCAATGAGTGCTGAAATTATAAATTACTTCATACTTCTACGTCTTCGCAACTTTCAAGAGAGCACATAAAACTAACTCCTAAGTGGAATGTTCAGAGGGCTGTCAGGAAACACTGGCTTCAGTGAACTCTTGTCCTCTACGCAGGAGAAACCCAGATATCTTTGTGGTCCTCCCCCCCAAAAAAAATTTTTTTTAATACAGGGTTTCTCTGTGTAGCCTTGGGTGTCCTGGACTCACTTTGTAGACCAGGCTGGCCTCGAAATCACAGAGATCCACCCACCTCTACTGAGTGCTGGGGCTATCCCCTATATTCTTAGACATCTAAACCCAACTATACATGAAAGCAAAGGAAAGACTGTCCAGAGGGAAGAAGGGAACCAGAAGGAGCAGGAGGAGCAAGAAGAAGCTGTAAACAGAAAACAATAATGATGGTGTATAAAAGTGCCAAGCCAAAACCCATTATTTTGTAAGCCAACTAAAAACATTAAATTAAATGAGCAAACCTATGGAGCTCCAAATGAAGGGGATAATGCCCTTAGCAGAGGTAACATCGGTGGTGCTCATTTGGAGGGAAGATTTGTTCCTAAAGCACATGCAGAGACTGGGAAGGTTTCAGGTTCAACCTGGGCCATTCCCATCATGCCACTGCCATCAAGTGAATCAGTATTGACTGGAA